ACGACAAACATGTGAAGAAGTCCTTGTCACGGCTTGGGTATGGTTCAGTAACCTTCATGTTTGGTTCCATAACTTTTCGTAATCATTCCATCAGGCGCCTTATTGTAAATGACTTACAGGATGGTGTTACAATATGCGGAATACATTTCTGATGACAAAATAAGAAAAATAGTTTGCTATCAATTTTACGTTCTTCTGCATTAAATTATTGTTCGTGCGCAAGGATGCATTTTATGGAAACATAACCAATCTTTTGTATATTTTTAGATTCATGCGCAAGGATGCATTTTATGGAAACATAACCAAGCTTTTGTGTATTTTTAGACTTTGTGGATCATTTGTCTCTGACCGGTGCAATTTTTTAACCGTTAATGTTGTTATTTTGGTGCAGGCTTTTGGTAAATACTCTTGCAAAAGCGCCCCAGTCTGAAAAATCTGAAGATTTACCATATAAGTCTTCCTGCTTAACACATTTACTGCGAGAATCAATTGGTGGCAACTCAAAACTTACAGTCATCTGTGCGGTTTCCCCAGACAACAAGTATTTGACTCCTCTCTGCTAATTGCTTTTCTGCTATGAAGTTTGATTTATTATTAGTGTGCTTGGATACATTAATTCACATCATAATTGCATAGCATTCATACATTCATACATTGTATTGTAAATCCTCTGAAACATTCATTATGCTTGTCAAATGCAGAAATAATGGCGAGATACTGCGAACTTTAAGGTTTGGAGAACGAGCGAAATCTGTTAGGAATGAACCAGTAATAAATGAAATAACAGAGGATGATGTTAATGATCTGAGTGATCAAATTCGCCAGTTAAAGGTACTAAGTTCTTTGTAGTTCTATCTGGATTTCTGTCACAAAGGCTGAAGGTGATAGAAATTTGAGGTTTATGAAATGTGTGTTTTGCAGGAAGAACTTATAAGAGCAAAGTCTAGTGGCTCACTTGTGATTAAGAATGGATATTTCCAAGGGAGAAATGTACGTGAAAGCTTGAATCAATTGCGGGTGAGCCTGAATCGATCTTTGATTTTACCCAGCATAGATAATGATTCTGATGAAGAGGTAAATGTGGATGAACATGATGTAAGGGAACTACGTAAGCAGCTAGATGAGCTGCATAATTCTTATGAACATGATATTGGGGACAATTCTGTCAGTAAAGATTCTGCTCAGTTGGGTGGAAGTTGTTATGCAGACTCAATAAGTGAAGATGACTTTCATAGTTCAGACGAAAAGGAGATTGAGGTATCTGAAGAAATTGATCTGGATTTTTCTCAGAATGAGCTACCTCCCAAGGACAACTTCGAATTGGCAGAAGAGATTTCTCCTACCACCACTGGTCCAGTAAACAGAAGCGGTGTTTCAATCAGTTTATGCTGTCGGTCCCCAGTCCTCCAAGACCCAACATTGTCCGAGTCTCCAAAACTTGGAAATGCACAAAGAAAGAGCGTCACTTTTGCTCCAAGCTGTTCAGTTAGTCAGAACAACGTATCAGACAGTTCCAAGTTCAAGTCAGATGTATTGAGACAGTCGCCGAATCAAAGTGAAAATATCCAATCCTCTTTGCGCTCAAGCAAAATATTTCCAGGCCCCACTGAGTCATTGGCTGCCAGCCTCCAGAGGGGCTTGCAGATAATTGACTACCACCAGCAGAACTCTGAATCAAGAAAATCCGCAGTCTCGTTCTCCTTTGAGCACTTGGCACTGAAACCTGTTAAAGCTAATTCTTCATCTCAAACATTACCAGAAACAAGGCCATCCATAGATGGGGCATCTTCTTCGTTCCTTTGTGCATCATGCAAAAGAAGAGTGTATGAAGATGATACAAATGAGGTCCCGGATAGCTTGAAGACATGGACTGTAGCAGTTGAGGAAGCAGGAAATCCTAACCAAATGACCGAGGTACGTTAAGTTTACTTGCTGTAAAACTCAGGAATGAAATCGGGAATGCTTTTTTAATTTACATTTTTTCTTCTAAACAGGATGTAGTGGAAGAAGCTAAAAAGGAGGAGCTTGAGAATCGTTGCAAGGAGCAAGCAGCTAAAATTGAGCAGTTAAATCAACTGGTAACATTTTCTCTTTCTGTTTCGACCTCAATGAACTATTTCTCTATATATATGTGTCTTACGTTCCAGAGAATTTTACTCTTTTTTTAGATAGAGCAATTCAAAAGTTGTGCAGATAATGGTAAAGAAATGATACCATATGAGGAGTTCAAAGATGGAAAGAAGGTAGGTCGGAGCGGTTTATGTTTTTCAACCTTTTCATATTCTGATATTAACTTCCTCAATTTTGCATATTTAAAGTTCTCTTACATGTTATGGGTGATTTCTGTAGCTCGTGAGGGGCAGTTCTGTTGATATTCACCAACCAGAGACTATAAAGGAGAAATGTGAAATACAGGAAGTTCAGAATCAGTTCGATCTTGGGGATGGGAATGCAGATTTTGATATGGATGAGAAGGAAGTTCAGATGTTAAGGGCCAAATTGCAGTCACGTACTGATGCATCACCCAACAAGTCCACTGAGAGACTGAGATCCTCTTTATTGTCACGATCCATCCAACTGCGAAAAAGTAGCACATTTCGAGATAACAGTGAGGAAGAACTGGAGAAGGAAAGACAGAGATGGACAGAAATGGAGAGTGATTGGATTTCCTTAACTGATGACTTGCGAGTAGATCTTGAATCCATCCGCCGGCGAGCAGAGAGAGTGGAGATGGAATTGAAATTGGAAAAGCAAAACACTGAAGAGTTGGATGATGTGCTTCAAAGATCTGTCCTTGGGCATGCTCGCATGGTTGAACACTATGTTGAACTACAAGATAAATATAATGGCTTGGTTGCAAAGTACCGTGCAATCATGGCAGGAATAGCAGAAGTGAAGAGGGCAGCGGCAAAAGCGGGAGCAAAAGGTCGTGGATCTCGCTTTTCAAAATCCCTGGCAACAGAGCTCTCAGTTTTGAGAGTGGAAAGAGAGAGGGAGAGGGAGCTTTTGAAGAAGGAGAACAAGAGTCTCAAGATTCAACTGAGAGATACTGCAGAAGCTGTTCATGCTGCCGGAGAACTCCTTGTTAGGCTTAGAGAAGCTGAACATTCCGCATCAGTTGCAGAGGTAACTCATTTTTTGCCCTTAAACACAAATGAAAACCCTAAGATTCGGCATTTTTGCCATCGAGTAGTTGCCATTCTGTCTGCGTATTTTACAATTAGCAGTACTTCACAAATAGAAACCGCTTAAGTTGGTTCTTCCAAGTTCGTTTGTCTCACTAATTGTTTTTGTCGTCTATCTTCCATAAACGCAGGAGAACTTTACGAATGTGCATCAAGAAAACGAAAAGTTGAAGAAGCAAATGGAGAAGCTTAAAAGAAAGCACAAGATGGAGATGATCACCATGAAGCAGTACATGGCAGATAGTAAACTGCCAGAGTCCGCTTTGCAACCACTATACCGGGAGGACTCTGTCATTCCACACAACACAGACGATGATCAGGCATGGAGAGCAGAATTCGGAGCTATATATCAAGAGCATTACTGACCGGTCGGAATTTGAAGCCAAACATTTGAGTGAACTACCGATTTATCTGAATGAGACCCAACTTGGGTTCATGCAATAGGCAACAATATTATGGATTCTTTCATTTGATTTTCTTTTCATGTATTCCTCAACAAAACTTTAACATACAATGTTATGAATTCATTCTTTTAATTTTCAACCATATGTTTCAGTTTTTGTTTTGAAGCGATAATCGTTATGTTTCCTGAGAAGCTCAGATGGTTGTCGACACCGATCATTTAACTAAGGAGCGATTTATCAAGAACATTACGGAATGGTCGAAAGTTGAAATCTACTAGGAAGCATTACATACATTTTGAAAACTCAGTCATGCACTAGTCACTGCTAGGCCTGGCATTTTGGACCCAACCCGTTAACTCGACCCGATCCAACCCGTTAATATTTGTATTTGGGTGGATGCTTAACGGGTCGGGTCGCTAACGGGTGAACCCGTTAACAACCCGTTAGACCCGTTAGGACCCGTTAACACTCGTTAGTTGAGGATATTTTAGCAATTTTAGTAAAGTCTTAATGACAAAAAATAAACTTTATGCAAAAATAAATTAATAATAATTGTTAACGGGTGTTAACGGGTGAAACGGGTGACCCGTTAGCTTAACGGGTTGAGTTCGGATGAAATGGGTCGGGTTGAACCCGACCCAAACCCAATAAACCCGACCCGTTTACAGGTCTAGTCACTGCTATGGTTGAAAACATGTGCATTCTTACTCAGTTGTATTGATGCCCAACTTCAGCAGAAACCATACGACAAAGACATTGTATGGTAGTTGTTTGAGTCTAGCCCATTGTTCTAAAAATCCTCACCTAGCATCTTCTAAGTAGGCCTAGGCGCTAGTCGGCTGACCTCCATCCCTTTCAATTCGTAGGCGTTTAAACAATAAGAAAGGGCACATAACCTTGTCTAGGCACCTGCCTAGCCTGTCTAGCCCCACCTAGGCACCCATCTAGACCGTGCCTCACACTTCGACTAAAAGTAGACAATCTTCATTTTGCATTTTATTTTTTCAATAAATTATAAGAGACTTCTTAAGTACTTTATAATCTATATATCATTCTATTTTTCAATTTATGCATCCTGATACAATTATGTATTCTTTTAAATATAAGTACACTTATTTATGTAATATAATAAATTTCACTCAAACTGAAAAAAGGGCCTAGGTCCCCCGCCTACTTGTAGGCGTGTTCCACTTGCCCATCAACATTTGCAATCTAACACACCTTTCCATCAACACACAAAAATTTGTTGACCTATAAAGGCCATGTCTCTGATCCTATAGCAATTCCAAAGACTGCTGAGAAAGATCCGATCACGCATGCCTGGAGTCGAATTCTGACCGTGGACACGCTACATAAGTAATCACGTCTTTCAGTAACGATACACAAGTCAAAACCAGAAAACCCCGACCCGAGGAAGATATGCTTCAAATTAGGTTTAAAAGAGTAATAGAGTGGTTCCGTAAATGCTGCTACATTTTTTGTAACAAACAAGAGCGCGGTTTCAAGAGGAGTGATCCTGTTCCACCATTTATCTAAATCATAAGATGACACAAGATTCACATCGGTTGAAATTGAGGCAAACAAAACTACAATCCATGTTGGTGAAGTCGGGATGTTGTCGTATAGGTCAACATTTCTCCCTTCCCATCTAATGAAAATAGCCAAGAACCTGACCCCCAACATTACGCTTAACAGCCTCTTCGTGATCCAACACACCTTCGGGAGTAGTAATCACAACATAACCCCACTGCATGAAGAGAGAGAAGCCCATTAACAGAAAAATCCAGACTTTCCCACACAGGCACCTTTAAATAATAAGAGACAAAAAAGAACTTTTAACAGATCTTTCGACATCAGGAGGTTAACAAACCTGTTTGGTCGGAAGGGTTTGCTTTTTGTACTCTTCAATATCTCTTGCCTTTACATCCTGCCTGTAAGTAAGAGCTTTACAATCGTTAACCCTGCCTTGTAGTTGAACCGTTATCCTCCCCACTCTATGTGGATCAAAGATCTGAAAATCCTTGATGTAACCTAAAGAAAACATACCACGGTCAGGGTCATTAAAACATAAACATGCAACAAATTGACAAATAACATTTGGAGCTGATATAAACATTTTTATTCACCCTCTCCCGCTTCAAAGAAACAAACAAGAAGTGTAATGCATTTGGTACAAAAAAAAATGCTCCTCTTTCTTCTGTATGTTCAATACAACCACAAAACAGAGCTCCCTTCTAGCAATACAGTGAATTTGAAGACAGACTTATATTTAAATAACTGTTGAAACTTGAAACACATCCTAACACTAGCTTATATTAGAAAACTAAACTTTTCGGTAGGGCATTCACGAACTACTTCATAAGCAAAGAAAGAAAATCATATATTAATATTATTTAGAAGAAAAGAATATCCCGTCTCCAATTAAAACAACAATGTAACCAAAGGATCCCATAATTACTTACAAGTTGCTATAATGCTAGTCCTCCAATACCCAGTATAAAACCATCACCAAATTATTTGAAGCAATATATCCTCGAACATTCTTATTATTTATTTACCTTATTCAAGAATGCCTGATTATGCCAAGCATCAGAATGAAGACTGTGTTATGTAATTCATAAAGTGACATCGTAGGTAAGTTCAGGTGAAAAATTTAGAGACAATAAAGCCCTAAAACTAGTCAGCCTGTTCTGGATACCATTTCCTTGTTTACGTGAAATAATGAAAATAAAAATTAAATAAACCTATGTTGACTAAAGCCAAATTCCTAGATCCCACACCAGCTAACTGAACTCAGTTCTATAGGTCCTTATTCACTACAAGTTCACCGCTTTCAAACCCTCTCAACAGATTAACTTAACAGAAATCCATATTCCGAAAGTACATATTAAATAGTTAGCATTAATGATCAAAATCTATATACTAAAGGAGGAGACTGTAGGGCTTTACCTCGATCTTTCATGATTTTGAGGAATGATGACATTACTGTGGATATAGGTTTCAACTCCACCGTATCTTTCCCCCTTCTCTCGGCATTCACTATCGATCTCAATGCATTATTCAATATCATTCTCCCCATCCTTATGTGTGCAAAATCCAACCCTCAAATGTCACGCACCCAAAGGAAGGCTCTGTTAGAAACAAAAAGGTATTGCTGTGATCTTTAACCCTCTTAGCTGTGTAGTTGGAGTGGTTAGCTGTGAAGTAATACATACAAAAATTTGAAATATTGAGGTATTGCTGTGATCTTTAACCCTCTTAGCTGTGTAGTTGGAGTGGTTAGCTGTGAAGTAATACATACAAAAATTTGAAATATTGAAAAGTATACCTAGAACAACTAGAAAAATAGGTTACATTCCTGCACTTAATTCGTACATACCAGCCACAAAAGTAGTAGCATTTCATTTGGGGTTTCTCATTTCTGCACAAAGTTGTTTAAAGTTGCAACCAAAATGTCATTACCACACCCATAAAAGTCAGGAAAGAAGAACATGTTCCCAAGTAATTAGAAGCTTTCTATTCCTAATTATACAAAAAAAAAAAAAAAAAGTTGCCATTTATTTACTCTACTTGCACAATTTATAATCACGAATAGACCAATTGGGCAAAAATTTTAGGGAAATTTTATAACGAAATAAAGCATCCAAAATTTCATTGAGCAATTTCACTTCCAAACAAATTGGAATGGCACGCGCAACATGAAATATGTTCCTTCAACGCTACTCATGAAGGATTCAGACTGTGCAATCCTAATTCACAGCAGAAGAAAACCCTATTCAAATTAAACAAACGTGGTGCTACACAGACGTGGTACCTGAGCCAATCCAGAAAACCCAATGAAGTTGAAGAAGGTAAGCAGCAACGAAGTGAAGAAATTTGGGGAGAGAGAGCACTGGCTGAGCAGATCAGACTGCAGGAGGCGGCGGCTGAGCAGACTACAGAACAGATGGCGAAGAAGAATGGAAGGGTTAATATTAAGGGGGGTAGACAGCGTCTCGGGTTGAATTTCACTCAATTCATATACTCTATTTCTCTCAATCCAGATAATATAATTGGGTATATTTTCTAGGGTTCTTTTATTATTTCTTTTATCATAATGCTTTTAATGGTCTATTTTTCAGAGCATCTTCATTAATACGTCAAAATGTTCACGTCAGTAATAACAGTAAAAAAAAACATCATAAGTTTTTTCCAACTGAAATGTCAATTTCTATATGACATGACATAAAAACTTTGGAAAGGCAGGAGACAGAGTTGATGTCAAATTTAACAACAGCTTCAAATTTATTTTTAGTAATTAATAAATGTTTTTTTATAAGAAGTGTTATTGGCACTCCAAAAATCTCATTCTACACTCCTCACAAGTGTATTTTTCTTTCCTAATATAGAAAATTTGGAGTGTAAAATGAGATTTTTGAGTGCTAATAATAATTCTCTTTTTTTTTTAGTTTTTATATTTATCTTTTGTTTTAAAATACTATTTACAACTATAAAAAGCAAATAATGTGATAAATAATATTTTAAATTTGACATGTCGGTTAGAGAACAAAATTTAGAAAAAGATCAATGTACCACATAAGCCTTTAAATTTAAATTTTATCGTTTAATTTGACATCTTCGTTGGAGATGATCTTAGAGTTTTTGAGACATTTAGAAATAATTTTGTTTGTGTTTTTTAATTCCTAGAATTATAAACATTTCTTTGCAATTTTTTAGTAGCGTTCAAAAGCCAACCATGTGCCAGCAGACAAGATGACGTCAGCATGACTTTATGCTGCTGCCAGCACATATTTTAATTTTTTTTTTTTTCTGTTAGGTGTGTGTGTTTAAGGAGTGTGGCCTGACAAAAGCTGCAGCGGTGGGCCCTTGCTACAGCAGAAAACAAACAACTCTCCAACGGATTGTTGACGTGGTGCTTTATGGGTCGTTGGCTTTCCAAAGGCTAGATGATTTGGACTGGTAGAATTTCAACGGTAAAAAAATTTTGAAATTATTACCGTTGCAACACGTGGCATAATCAAGTGTGTCTATTAGTTTGAAAATCAATGGCCATAATTAATCCAATGGTTAAAAAATTAGAAAAATTAGAAAAAAAAATTATATTGTTTTTCTATAAATACTCAACCATATTCTTCATTTAATCACAACTTAATATTTATTTACTACAATTTTTTATATTTGTTTTCCACTTTCCAAATTCTTTTTTTTTTTTCAAAAAATGGGTGAGAACGCAGTATGATCGATCGCAGTAGACCTTGCTTTGCTTGAGGTTTGAGTGTGTATTACTCATTGGTCCGATGATTGAAAATGAGATGAGGGTGCAATATATGTAGAAGAAGATTCATGCATAACTTGTTGAGGTGATACAAGGCACATCCTGGACCGAGCATTCTCTGTCAAATAGATACAAACATCTATATAAAGATTTGAAACTTGGCAAGAAGCCATTGCAATAACGGAAGGAATTTATGTTAGTGGTGCTAATCTAGCCAATGTGGTATTATATTATTATTAATAACTTAAAAATGAAATTAATATGTTCTTTTTTTTTTACTTTTGTTATGTAAATGTCTATGTTGTTTCATAATTTTTTTCCAACAACTACAAGAACAAATGTGGTTCAATCTTGATAACAAGAAATCATTCACAAGGCGCAAATGTTGGAACATTATGAAGCATACTTCGAAGAACAAAGTTCTGCCTAGTGATCCACAAGTTGAGTTCAATGAGACTCCATTGCACAAGCCAACGACTGAAGAGTCACCATTGGAGACCTAAGAAACCTTGAGGCTTATTGGTAAGAAGGCTGCTAAGAAAAGAGCTACAAGAGGGAGTTCTTGAATAATATTAAAAAATATTTGATGAATTAGCTCACCACATGAATTCAATATGGAACGAGACATGTTATGGATATAAGCAAGACAAGGCTAGAGATGAAGCAAAGGCGAGAGAAAGGGAGTTAAATAGGCAAGAACGGTAAAAGGAGAAGGATCAGTGGATCATGTCCAACGCCTTGACTATGCGTATTTTTAAGTCATACCATTTTTTAAGAAGTGAAAAAAATGGCGTCATAAGATATCCAGCGCAAGATGAAGAAGTTCCATACACTCCAAGGGAAGACAAATTAAGCCACACTGACTTCCATAAACGTTTTGAATTAGGAGACATATAATCGAGGCGTCGATATATGGTATCACGATCCTTCTCCTCTACCTTTCTTGCCTATTTTAACTCCCTTTCTCTTGCCTTTGCTTCATCTCTAGCCTTTTCTTACTCATAAAATAACCTTTTTTGCTCTATATTCAGTGCAAGTTGGCGAGTCATTTTCTCAACTAACTTTGAATAATCATTATTTGAAGAACTCCTTCCTACAGCTCTTTTCTTAGCAACCTTCCTACCGACATGCCTCGAAGTTTTATGGGTTTCTTGGGTCTACAACGGCGCCTCCAGTGGCAACTCTTCAGTAGTTGGCTCATGCAATAGTCTTGTTCAACTCAACTTATGGACCACTAGGCAAAACTTTATACTTCGAAGTATGTTTTACAATGATCCAACATTCGTACCTTGTGAATGAAATCTTGTTATCAAGATTAAACCACATTTGACACACCCCGTCCCGAAGGAGGGCGTGCTGGCCGTCACGTGAGAGTAACGTAACCATTTACACAGTTCGGAAGCTTTAAAAAAAATTCCAATTACTAAGATAACACACCCGAGAGTGAGTCCTACTTTTGTGAATTCTGTCAGAACACCGTTGGATTCCTCGTGGCCACCAAAGCTCTGCTAACTTGAACCTGGAGGGGCGCAAAACAAAATTGAGTGGGTCAGTAAAACAAAGTTTTTCGAAGACTTTTCATTTAAAACATTTATAACCCCTCACCGTAAAACCTGTATACTTTCCCAGAAAATAGCATATATATAACATATATATAAGCAAAAAGCTCAAATCTCAAACCTTTAACACTTTTCAGAAATATATATATATATATATATATATATATATATATATAGATATATAACCATATGAAATCTCAAAGCTTGAATCCCAAATCTTTAACATTTTTCAAGAAAAACATGTCATGCCATAAATCAAAATATAAATCAGGTGAAATAAGGAATCAATCGGAGACCCTGCAGTTGGTCCTATACGATTAATTCAATAGCTCAATATCTCACTAAGCCGGAGTCACCACAGTGACCTATAACGGCCCTACTCTGCACATCACTCGGAACTACGTAAGGTAGTCTATACGATGAAAGGTGTAAAATACGCTCTAGTGCTTCTCTCATCATATCATCAGCGCGCATATCTAAGGTCACCCACCAGTCGGAACCCCTCTAATGGTCTGTACGACTGGCATGTCGGAACCCTCACATGGTCTGTACGACATCCACCTACTTGGATCCAAGGCGAGCGTGCGGTGTGGTGAATAATATAAGCACTAACACCTAGGGTGCAGATTATGAGCTCAAACATCTCAACAACAACAATTCAATGAATAAACGAACTCACCTGACTTACCTGTGCCTCCACAGCACCATGCAACATGTATGCATCATATATCATCAATCATATAACTCATATGAAATTCACATTTTCCAAATAATTCTATGCATGGCATTTTCAAAACATAATTTCGCATAAAAAGCATTTTTTCTGGGAAAAACAATAGTATATAGGTAATACGAAAACAAAACTGCCCACTCACCTGGAGTTCGCCCACAACTCCCTAGCACCGTACATCAAGGCGTCATGACGATTAGCGCCTAGAACAACAATCAAATCCAACCTCAGAAATTCTGCCGATAGAATACATAACTTATATAAGACACGTCACTACGTAGTTCGATCCGGATGATCTGCAATTCAGATTTCAAATCCGTAACTTCCAGAGGTCCACAATATACCTCTAGGACAACATCCTAAAATTTCATTACCATCCAACGGTCGGATCTTCGTCAATTTCCAAAACTAAGTGACGGTTAACATTCTATTTTATGAACTTACAACTTCAATTCCAGAAGATCCGTAAATCGGATTCCCAATCCGTAAGTTCCTATAAATCCTCAAATATTACGTATTACAACGTATCAAAGTTTGATGACGATCCAACGGTCGGATCGTCAATTCACATTTTCATCTAACCACGAATCGTAACCAACTTAGGTTCAATTATTCAATTTACGTCCATCAATTATCAAAACAGAACCTAGAACCTTAATCACAAGCTAATAATGATGACATTGGCGGGCCATTGGCCACGCGCGCCGCGCGCGGGCCGCCGCGGGTGGCGGTTGGCCGCCCCCGGCTCGCCGGAAAATTCAACTATTTCCAAAAAATTACCAAAAAATTTGCAGATTTGAAGATCTCAATGAGTAGAACAACTTTCATACCTGAGACCAAGGCCAATTTGGCCTGGAAGTGCTTCAATTTCACCAAAACCGTGAAGAACCCTAGAATTTGGGTGTTTTCCAATTCGACCTTCAAACTTGTTCCAACGCCTCAATTACCTCTTGGGCTTTGTTCTAGGTCCTAAAGGAATGCTAAAGGTGTTAGTAATTGAAAGAAAACATTTCAAAATTTGGAGAATTTAAACAAAAGGGTCGCGGCACCCGTAGGGGTGTTCTTCGCGAAATCACAACGAAATTCAATGATTCTTGGGGTGAAACGTAAAGAGGGAAGGCCTAGATGATGATTAGGAGTGGTACCTTGACTCAATTCGTCGGAAATTTGGACGAAATCCATCGAATTTGGGCGTGGGCACCGCCGGGTCGAAACGACCCACGGGTTCTCCCCAACCCATTTCCTCTTTTCCTCCGCTTCTCACCCTCTCTCCCTTCCTCCTTTCCCTGTTCCGATTGGTCAGTTTCTTCCCCTCTCTGCCTCTGATTCGCTCTCTCTCCTTCTTCTCCGATTGGGCAGTTTTTGCCCAATCTCTCTTCCTCTTTTCTGTTTTCTGGTTCTTCCCACGCACACACCCACACAAAACTTTCATTTTTCTCATCCCAG